GAGCCGCGCGCTCGCTCCCCGCCGCCGGGGCTCGCTCCAGCGCCAGCGGGGACCCCGGCTTTGTGTCTGTCGCTCTCGCCGTGTTTTGTCCCGGTTCAGGCTCCTCTACCAAACAGCAGGGAGGAACGGGAGGCGGACACCATCCTCTCGCTCCACCTCCCTGCCAGGGGTGTTCCTCCTCCTCCACCCCTTTCCCCCCTCCCCTCCCTCTCAGCTCGGGTCTCCGCGTCGAGCGCGGGTGTCACGTTACTGCCGCTGCTGGGGAGGGGCGACGGCAATTATTCGCGAGGAGGGAGAAAGTTTTTGGATGTTTTCCTTGCTTGCTTTTTCCTTCTTTCCCTTTTCTCTACACTCTGGCCTCGGTTCCTGCGCCACCAGCGACCTCTTGGGGGCCCCGCTGACTTCCCTCTCGTAAACAGACACCAGCAGGAAGACCTTCCACTGATTTTACTATACATACTTTTTTTTATTCAATTTCTCCTTCCTTATCCCAAGCGAGCTGCTTACAAAAAAGGGGATAAAAAGTACTTGAATAGAGGGTTCCTGCGATGGTCAGCGAGCAAGAGGTGTGAGTTATAATTAAACACGTCCCATAGCACGGAGCTCATCGCTGGGAATTCCTGGAACAGAAACAGAAGCGTATGCTGTCTTCCTCCTTTCCCCGGTCCTACAGCTACTCGGGAGTCTTTGGTGAAAAAAGTTAACTCGCCTGACTGGGAAGGTTGGAGGTTCAGGTCTACCCAGAGGCACCCCGGAAGAAAGGCCTGGCAACCTGCTTCCAAAATATCAGCCATTGAAAATCCTCTGAAGCACAGTTCTACTCTGACACACAGGGGTGGCCGTGGGTTGGAGCTGGCTAGACAGAAACTGGTCTAGCTAGGGTTTTTTATAGCCACAACTTAGGTCTGGTAGCGTAGCGCCTAAGGCAGTTGACTGCTAACCAGGAGGCTGACGGTTCAAACCCACCAGCCACCCCTCAGAAGGAAGGTTGGGCAATCTACTTCTGTAGTGATGCTGCCTCGGAAACCCAAGGAGGGGTTGCTATGAGTCGGTCCCACTCGAGGGCACAAAACAACAACTTAGGGACAGAGAGGCAACTGAGGAGGGGGCCGTTAAATAGCGAACTAAAGACAGTCTTTCCTCTAGCAGATGTGAAGTGAAAGAACCTCCATCCATACATATCGTCTTCATCGCTGTCTCCCGTTCCTCCCAGTGGAGGAGGGGGGAGGTCATTTGAAAGAATCAAGGGAGTTTCTGGACCTGAAAGAGAATCTCTCTGGATAGAAACCCTGCTTCACCGCATCACAGGCACTTCCGCTCAGGGAGGAAGGCGGGGTAGGGAGTGATTCAGAAAAAGGTTGCTGTCATCAATCACACTTTAAATAAGAATAAGCGAGTGAAGCTGTAATACCCACCGCCTTTGAGTCGGACTCTAACGACCCCTCCTTGGGTTTCCGAGGCAATATCACTACGGAAGTAGATTGCCCAACCTACCTTCCGAGGAATAGCTAGGGGGTTTGAACCGCCAGCCTTCTGGTTAGCAGTCAAGTGCCCTAGGCACTAGGCCACCAGAGCTCCCAACTATGTGACTTTTATGTGGTTTGCTCAAAGTCACAGAGCTAGAAGGATTTGGTTTGAGAGCCGAACTCAAATGTGTTTGACTCTCAAGTCCACTTCATTGACCACTGCACTGGACTATCTCCCCGTGAGGGCCCTCTTGCTCAAAATGTGCGTGGTGATTGGAAGATGAGATGTAACCAGCTGGCCACCTGGAGAAACTGAAACCTCAATTTCATCAGCTGCTCATCCCTGGCCCCCTGCTCACTGTCCTGATTGGAGAACGAATCAAAAGCCACAAACCTCTGCAATGCTAAGACTAGCTTCCTGAAAACCTCTGTACACTTGGATATCTGAACATTTTTGCCACAGAAAATTAGTCCTGAGATCGAGAGCGGCTCCTCTTCAAACTTAAGAGTAATCTAGCTGATCCCTATATGAATATCTCTGATTTGAAACACAAGTGAAGAGAAAGACACATAGCCCATGAGCTGGCGGGTCATAGAGATGTGGTAGGTAGGTATCTCACACATACATACACCTGCACACTCACAAGGTCTACTTCCCAAATTTACACTGTGCTAGCAGAACTTTCTAAGGGATGGGAAGGCTGCTTAGGGACCCCAACAAAAGGCAAATCCCTTTGTTCTATCACAGAAAATCCAGAATAGAGTGCTAATGGTTTGTTTCACATTTATTCCATGAATCAGAGATTTCTTTGGATTGATGTACACATTCTAGAAATGTGACTGCCCCTGAGAGGATTAAGCCAGTCAGTCGTTGCCCATTAATGGGAAGTACTTTCATCAGCACACTGAGTAGCCCTGGATGGGTCCCCAACTAATAATTCTTGAGTTAATGAAGAAGGACCAGGAGATGGGACGAGCAAAGCCATTTTCATAATGTTCAGTTGCTCTAGAGGTCTGCAAACAAACCTTCCTTCAGAGGCCACCCTTACACGCTGGCCCTGTGCCTGAGGCCTGACCCCATCATCTGAACACTCATTGGATAGAAAATCATGTGCAAAATCCTCACTGCGCCCATAAGGACCATGATCTAGAGACCCTCCCACCGAATGCTTCTACGACTCTCACAATGTTTTCTCCTAAGAAAAGGAATCTGAGCAACAGTGAGGTTATGACAGAGGGACAAGGCAGGAAGAAAGGAAACAAACATCTGAGGAATGAAGTAAATATGGGACTAAAAGGTTTGGTTTTTTTTTTCCAAAAACAGTGAAAAAGTTACAAGGAAATTATAAGGCAAAGTCCAGCTTAGAAGAAATAAGCCATGACAGGAAGAACTGTAAAAAGAAAATTAACAAGTCAATATTTAAAAGATTGCATTTGTGGACTAGCAACCTAAAAAAAAAAAAAAAAAACTCACAGAAGGAAAAGCTATCAATACACAAAAAGTTTCACATAAAAAAAAAAAAAGCTCTGTATTTTCACCCAACAATAACTTAGATATTTGGGTAAAACTTTGTTCTAAATGTTCTTTCAAAAAATTTTTTCAGTTTAAAGTATTTGTGTCTTTATTCACACCAGCTAATAAATCTATCAAATATAGGAATTTATGAATAATTTTTATTAGTAGTCTTATAATTAAATATTATAAGATGGAGAAGCTCAATATCTTCAGCCAAAACAAGGCCAGGAGCTGATTGTGGAATAGACCATCAACTGCTCATATGCAAGTTCAAGTTGAAGCTGAAGACAATTAAAACAAGTCCATGAGAGCCAAAATATGACCCTGATTATATCCCTCCTGAATACAAACACCATCTAAAGAACAGATTTGATACATTGAACACCAGTGACCAAAAACCAGAAGAACTGTGGGATGACATCAAGAACATCATCCATGAAGAAAGCAAAAGGTCATTAAAAAGACAGTAAAGGAAGAAAACACCAAAATGGATGTCAGAAGAGACTCTGAAACTTGCCCTTGAATGGAGAGTAGATAAGGGAAATGGAAGAAATGACAAGATAAAAGAGCTGAACAGAAGATTTCAAAAAGCAGCTCCAGACAAAATCAATTATTATAATGAAATGTGCAAAGACTTGGACTTAGAAAACCAAAAGTGAAGAAAATATTCAGCATTTCTCAAGCTGAAAGAACTTGAGGAGGAAATTTAAGCCTTGAGTTAGAATATTGAAAGATTCTATGGGTAAAATATTGAATGATGCAGGAAACATCAAAAGACGATGGAAGGAATACACAGAGTCACTGTACCAAAAAGAACTGGTCGATGTTCATCCGTTTCAGGAGGTGGCATATGATCAAGAACCAATGGTACTGAAGCAAAAACTTGAAGCTGCAGTGAAGGAATTGGCAAAGAACAAGGCTCCAGGAATTGACAGAATACCCACTGAGATGGTTCAACAAACTGATGCTATGCTGGAGGCACTCATTCATCTATGCCAAGAAATTTGAAGACAGCTACCTGGCCAACTGACTGGAACAGATCCGTATTCGTACCCATTCCAAAGAAAGTTGATCCCACAGAATGTGAAAGTTATTGAACAATATCACTAATATCACACACAAGTAAAATCTTGCTGAAGATAATTCAAAAATGATTGCAGCAGTATATTGACAGAGAGCTTCCAGAAATGCAAGCTGGATTCAGAAGAGGATGTGCAATGAGGGATATCATTGCTCATGTTAGATGGATCTTGGCTGAAAGCAAGAAATACCAGAAAGATGTTTACTTGTGTTTTATTGACTACTGCAAAAGCATTCAATTGTGTGGATCGTAACAAATTATGGATAACATTGAGAAAAATGGGAATGCCAGAACAGTTAATTGTGCTCATGAGGAACCTGTTCATAGACCAGGAGGCTGTCGTTAGAACAGCACAAGGGGATACCACATGGTTTAAAATAAGTAAGGGAGTGCGTCCGGATTGTATTCTTTCACCATACTTATTCAATCTGTATGCTGAGCAAATAATCCAAAAAGCTGGACTATAGGAGGAAGAACATGGCATCAGGATTGGAGGAAGATTCATTAATAACCTGTGATACACAGACAACACAACTGTGCTTACTGAAAGTGAGGATGACTTGAAGCACTTACTGATGAAGACTGAAGATTATAATCTGCAGTATGGATTACACCTTAATATAAAGAAAACAAAAATCCTCACAACTGGACCAATAGGCAGGAGCTCTGGTAGCGTAGTGCCTAAGGCATTTGACTGCTGACCAGATGGCTGG